GTTAATAATAAGAAGAAGGGTAGTCTCACAATAATCTAATGTCGATATTGATCCCTATTACAAGCGGGTGTTTTTTTGTTTTTTTTTATGTTAAACAAACTATTTTAAGTTTTAGGAAACAGCCAACTGCAAGTATTTTATATGTACCAATGGAATTGATTTATATTTTGTACAAGTATTTTATATGTATTAATGAACATAAATGTAATTGTGATATGTGACACTTAAAAAAACAAATTGAACTTGAACTTGAACTCTATATAAAGGGGGTTGAGTATCATCACTGGGGTCTATATAAAGGGGGTAGAGTATCATCACTGGAGTCTATATAAAGGGGGTAGAGTATCATCACTGGAGTCTATATAAAGGGGGTAGAGTATCATCACTGGGGTCTATATAAAGGGTGTAGAGTATCATCACTGGAGTCTATATAAAGGGGTAGAGTATCATCACTGGGGTCTATATAAAAAGGGTAAAGTATCATCACTGGAGTCTATATAAAGGGGGTAGAGTATCATCACTGGAGTCTATATAAAGGGGGTAGAGTATCATCACTGGGGTCTATATAAAGGGTGTAGAGTATCCTCACTGGAGTCTATATAAAGGGGGTAGAGTATCATCACTGGAGTCTATATAAAGGGGGTAGAGTATCCTCACTGGAGTCTATATAAAGGGGGTTGAGTATCATCACTGGAGTCTATATAAACAGGGTACAGCTATATATTGCCAGCTGTAGCAAGTTTACTGATCAAGTTAGCTGGTACCAGACAGCATGTCCTCTTTCTCATTAGCTCAGCATTTATTTTCTTACTTATTGCTCACTGATTATTCGCTGTAAAAAAATGCAATCTGCCACAATCTTTTAATGATAATAACCTTGTGGCATTTATATATCCACAGCTTGACAAATTGATATTCCCTGCACTATTTTACCGCAATTGTGTCATCACATCTGCCAGCTAGGTAAATTGTAGGAGTACATAGTAATCAATGTAAGGGTCTCAGCTGGTTCAGTCTGCACCTGTAACACCCAGTGTCTGGTAACGTAACATTACCAGGGGAAACAGTACTCGAAAGTAGTTATCACTGATTCTATTCTATCTAACAACCTGTGTTACTTTAGACTTGAAATGAAAGTTCTTTATGTATTACACTATTTTATCATTCTGTGTCTATCTAACATAGTTTTATCTGTTGTCTTTTAAAACTGTTGATATTCAATGTGTAATGCGCTAGTTATGATAGTGTAGCAAACATCACACTTCAGCACCTGGAGCCAAATGCCAGTGGTTTTCCCTGGTCTTAGTATATACATTTTCTGTATACTATGGTCTCTTTGAATTTGCTGGAGTATATTTTAAGTAGATAGAGCAGAGAGTTGAACATTCTATAATTGTACAAATCTGTATAAGGTTGGTTTTACATAGGTTATTGAACCAGTTCTAGTTCTGGTACAATACCATACAGGTTATTGAACCAGTTCTCATTCTGGTACAATACCATACAGTGTCTGAGTTTTCTTCTCAAGTCATTGCTAGTTGTTATATGTGACTGTGTGTTGAATTTAATAAATTTGTACAAGCATATCAAGCAAATGTATTTATTTTTTTGTGATTTGTCGGAGACACAAGTTTGTATTTTACCCATATTGGGATGGAAGAGCGAGATATTGTTGATTGATCATGAAGCAGGCTTTATAATTCTGAAGTGTAAGCAGCATATGGTACATATAAACCATGATGCGCCCAATTTGTATACATGATAACTGGTCTCCATAAAACATTATGTGGGTTATGTTTGTGCCAGCTCTCTGGAACTGATGCTAATGAGTGTCTGTGTTAGAAACATGGCAGACTGTATGGTACCCATATACAGTTGTATATATATACCAGTTCACTTTGTACAGTATGGAAGACTGGTAAGAAATGCAGAGTCTATTGAGATTTGAAAATAGTCAATTGGAATCAGGTCATTGTGATTTTCTGCCGACCTTGCCTCTGAATGACTGTTTGTGTATAACTTCATCTTAGTATCAGCTTTAGTGACATATACTAGTCTGTAGGTGTGTATGAAGTAATAATGATGAGTACCATCCAGTAAGTGGAAAGGACCTCTAGGTGTGTATGGGGTGACCTCTAGGTGTGTATGGGGTGACCTCTAGGTGTGTATTGGGTGACCTCTAGGTGTGTATGGACTGACCTCTAGGTGTGTATGGGGTGACCTCTAGGTGTGTATGAAGTGACCTAGGTGTGTATGTTGTGAACTCTATATTTGTATGTTGTGACCTAGTTGTTTACCTCAAGGTGTGTATGTAGGGACCTTTAGATGTAAACATAATGATATGTACATTGTGACCTTTAGGTGTGTACATAGTGACCTCTAGGTGTGTACATAACGACCTCTATGTGTGTATATTGTGACCTCAAGCTATGTACAAAGTGACTTCAAGATGTGTATGTAGTGACCTCTAGGTGTGTATGTAGTGACCTCTTATATTATTAGTATGTATGTAGGGACCTCTAGGTGTATACAGTGACCTCAAGGTATGTATGTAGTGACCTCTAGGTGTGTATGTAGGGACCTCTAGGTGTATATGGTGACCTCTAGGTGTATACAGTAAACCTCAAGGTATCTATGTAGTGACCTCTAGGTGTGTATGTAGGGACCTCTAGGTATGTATGGAGTGACCTCAAGGTGTGTATGTAGTGACCTATGTGTGTACATAGTGACCTCAAGGTATGTATGTAGGGACCTCTAGGTGTGTATGTAGTTACCTCTAGGTGTGTATGTAGTGATCTATGTGTGTACATAGTGACCTCTAGGTGTGTATGTAGTGACATCTAGGTGTGTATGTAATGACCTTTGTGTGTATGTTGTGACAGCAAGGTGTATATGTAGTGACCTCTAGGTGTGTATGTAGGGACCTCTAGGTGTGTATGTAGGGACCTATAGATGTGTTAATAGTGACCTATAGATGTGTATATAGTGACCTCTAGGTGTGTATGTAGTGACCTCTAGGTGTGTATGTAGTGACCTCTAGGTGTGTATATAGTGACCTATAGATGTGTATATAGTGACCTTTAGGTGTGTATGTAGGGACCTATAGATGTGTATATAGTGACCTCTAGGTGTGTATGTAGTGACCTCTAGGTGTGTATGTAATGACCTCTAGGTGTGTATGTAGTGACCTCTAGGTACATAAGAAGTAGGTATGTTTGTAGTGATAGGCATGTGTTTGGTCCATGTACAGTCTGATAGTTGAGGTAAGTGCTGTTGCCTTCATTAGCCAGTAGTATACCTAGCAGCTACAGAATCTCTGGTACAGATGACTATGGAGGCTGACAGGTAGATATCCAGGTATGATAGTGAACAGGTAAAGCCAATAATCGGTACTGACTTAAACTTCCCAACTGATGGTGTTGATGCTGATTACCTTGCCTGAAGTGGACCACTACAATGGCTGTGAATCTTGAGAGGTGAACAGGTCTAGTCAATCAATATATATATATAACCTCAGATAGAATGAAAGTAATTTGTCAGGAGTTCGTTTGTAAAGGTTCTGTGTGATCCATATTTTGGTTGATATTAAGATAATTGATTTTGATATTTCCTGATGACTGGGTTGATAAATGGGCAATTGTGATAAAATATAATTTGTTTCTCATTAGATGCAGCTGTGAACAGTTCACAATGATTTTCTTAATTACCTAAAAACTAAGTTGTGTGAACTTGTTAACCTATAAGTTATAGACGATTACCTTATAAATGATGTAAACTGTAAGTTGTAAGCATGCTTATCTCATTATATCCAGGCATAAATACTGTTTACCGAGAAACTTTTGCTAAATCAAACCTTTTTCCTTGACTGATAAAATCCCTATTTGCCCGGTGTTAAGTTCACCCTAGACCCGTGATGATGAAATATACATGTAGCAGGCCGTGTAAAAACATTTGCTGACTATGGAGGGCGAAAAAAGCAAAGTATAACTGCAGCTAAAAAATTACAAAGTACGGATAGCGTTATTAGATCGTAGGTACATATAGGCGACAGACAGACCATTGATTGCTATAGACTGCTTCTGTGTGGGGCAGAATTGATCGAAGAACTGTCACCTATTTTTGGACTCTTTATTTAATGAAACGGTGTCAAAAGCATTTCAGTCAGGAATCAGTGCAAACAGTATTACATCTAACAACTATGCTGGTGATTATGATGCGATATGAGCCTGAAAAAGTGATAATGACTAAGATAAATTGACAGTGTAGATATATACCTACTTGTCAGTGTTGTATGTAGGTTTTCTAAAGTGTTTTAACAAACACGTCCCTTCTACATGTAACTTACATGTCATGTTATATGACAATGTGCCTATTACATGCTAGTACATATGTATATATCTAGACCTGCCAATCAGTCTGTCTGGCTTTCAAACTGAAAGCTCATTAAAGGGCAGTAAATGTGTCAGATATTGGAGAAGTTTTTGTTGATTTTACAAAAATACGTCATTACATCGTAGAAAGATCATTGACATAGGTTACCTCCCCTGTAATTGACAGAGATGTAGGGGTGAGTGGACTAAGAAGTCTCCCTGGTGTCACACATGTAGACAAGCATGTAGGGCTCTCTACAGCAAATTATTAACGCTTCAAGGCATACACATGTAATCATACAATTAATGGATTCTTGTGAGGTGGATACACTTTTTATGAACCTAGTTATTTGGTGTATGTGTTACCCTTATGATGACCCTAGTTATTTGGTGTATGTGTTACCCTTATGATGACCCTTGTTATTTGGTGTATGCGTTACCCTTATATATAAATAATGAATTTGTTTAATTAGAGAGTGACATTGCCTATGGTCACCCCCAAGGGTATTGCTGTCATCGTATGTAAAAGCGAAGGAGTCATTGACATTGTGATGGCTGACATACAGTGTTATACATACAGTGTTATACATACAGTGTTGCTATAAATGCCTATGTTTTGGTGTGTTACAGAGACTGTAAGGAGGAGGAGCAGGAGACGCCGCAGTGCACTTTCCCCTGTGTGGACCTGTTCTCCGACAAAAATGGAGTGTCCAGGTACAACCTAACCTTTCCCTGGAGGTCCAATCCATACTTCTGGTATTAAGGAAAGATACAAGCTTCTGTTCAGCTTATTTCAATTTGAACATGTTTTTTCCTGCGAAATTAAATTTCTACATTTTCATTAGATATACAAAATAATCCATTTGAATTTTAGAAAAAAAAATGAAGAAAATAATATTTGCTCTTGATGCCTCTGAAAAAACAACCAAAAGGAAGTTTTCAGTCCACCTGGCAAAAAACGCCTGCAAGCTTATGCTTTAACAAGGAATCTATTGTCTGTCTATTTCTTGAACTGATTTCTTCTCGAGAAAGATGAGGCTTAGGGTCATGCTATTTAGTATGTATTTTGCCAGATTGAATATTCAAATAATATACTTCGACATACAGTTAACATAACAGGGTTGAAATGCATCAAATACTTCCGATATAATCATAACTTACTCTCATAAAACAGAAGATTTTAGATTCATGATATTTGCTATCGATATTGGTCATATAAATAACATTCAAACACTTAGTTCATGGGGGTGAAAGGAGCTAAAAGTTGAAATGACTTATTTCTGTTCAGAATCATGATGTCTAATTTCAGTCAGTATATTGGCTTTTAGCTTGCTGTTGAAAAAGGCCAGGGTTTATTAAGGACTTGAAAAAGCATTGATTTCGATATATGTCTTGAAATAAACAATTGAAAATGAGAATACTTTGAAAAGCCTTGAAACATCAAATGTGTTGAAAATTTCAATAGATTTCTTCTCGAGCATTTCAGCAATAAATATGGTTGCCCATAAATCAAATACCAGGCAAGTGATGCAGGACCCTTAGGCCTCTTTGTTAATGATAATTGGTATGATTTTCATAAATGATATCGATACCATACAATTAATGCAAATATTGTGAAAGATGAACATGTTCTCTGCTGAGGGAGATGCCAGACACATATTTAGCTGCTTAAAATCCATTAATAGTCTACCAATCTATCAAAATCTCCCTAAGGCATATAGGGTAGGTTACATGTCACATAACATTGCATGGCTGTAGTCACTTATTTAGAGAATGTAATGATAGCGTACCAGAATGACAACTCCTGGAAAGCTAAGGTTGTTGTGTGTTGGTGACTTGAGAGTTTCGACAGAACTCATTCCACTGATATACCAGCCCTTCCAGGTGAATGCTTTAACCCCATTTGTCTTCTCGTTGTGCTGTGTCAGCAGAAATACAAGAAACAGTATGTCATCATTCAATATGGACAGAAATGCCTCCTCAGTAATAGGTGGTGGCCGGATACAGATCGTCACTGCTGGCCATGCTGCATTGATTAAATCAAATATATATATATATTGAGCAGCATGAATTTAAACACTAGTACCTCATTATACAACTGTAAAGCCAGTGTACAATGTCAACAGTGTGTTAGATGGAGTGTGATATGGGGTATTGATCCCACAGCACATATAGGCCACTAGGTCAGTAATGTACACAACCAAACAGCTATGCTGCTCCCTCTGTCCTGGTGACTCCCCTAGTCAGGAAGAACAGCTGTGTTTATGTCAAGTTTCTGTGTACCCAGGGGTTTTGTATATCCAAAGGTTGTGCTTTATGTACCAAGACATCAGCACATGTTTGATAGATTAAGGTCAAGGTCATCGTCTGCCTCCTTACTTACAAAAGTTTATACATATGCCTGAAGTGAGATCAGATTTGCTAATGATAGTGATCTTGTAGTCTTATATCCTTTTTCACTTGGTCTGGAAATGCTGTTTTTAGCTAAAATATCCAAAAATGTCCACATACTAATTAATACTATATATACATGATGAGGTGTATAGTTTAATCTCAACTCTGTATTATGGAAGCCTATATAGACCATAAATTGTATAGCTAGTGAGCTAATGCCGTGGTGTGACATCTATTTATTGTCAGTTATTCCTTTTAAAAAGCTACTCATTAAGGACAGCTGAAGGGATTTTGACTAAATTTGATGAAGGGTATAACCTCCTCCCTCATGCCTTTCACAGTAGATACCATCATCAGTATGTGTGCATTCATATAATCTTGTAAGGAAATAAACTTGTCTACCTTGGATGTAAAGAAAACACCTAATAACTCCCACTTGTCAATAAAGAAACGTAAGAGGCATTATGTAGGTAATATAAGAAATGACCTGTCCACTCACCACTTAACAGCTACCTAAGATGGATTGATAGGTCTTCAACTGGCTTTACTGTTATGTTATGGTACCCAGGACTATTAGAATGTCACTTTGTGGAAGGGTGATGCTTTCTAGATCAGCTATAAGGACTGAGGTTGAATTGTCTGCCTGACACATGCTATAGTAGTATTGTTGCGTACCTATGTACACCGACACATACTTGAGAGTCTTGGTGAGGTAAGGTATTACGTAACCACAGATACATGGAGGAGATTGACAGTTGTGTGTGGTCACACCTGTGTGTTTTATATCACCGGCACTGCTGCACAGGTGACCCTGATTAGGAGGTCCTGTAAGGTATTGTCAAAGTAGTTAACCTATTAACAGTACAGTGTTCTGTTATGTGACTTTTAAACTGGATTCTGGTTTTATTTCCTATTGTCTAACTTAGGTTTTACCTACCTGGTATATAGCCTTTTTCATCTATAAAAAATGTGTTAAATGGAAAATGATTTATTGCATTTTTGCTAGTGAAATATAAAAGATTCTATCAACTTGATAAAAAAACTGATATTTTTCACACTGTGATCAAAAGTGATATTTTCAGTGTGAAAATATCACTTTTTGGTATTGACCAATCACATCGTTATATTCTATTCGCTGCATTCAAAGGCAACAATGTTTTGTTCAGATTCAAATGAAGCAATGGTAGAATAAGTGGTTGTTATGGTAAATGTTTGGTACATGCACACACTTAGTATTTACAATTAATAAAAAAAAATATAAGCAATCATACCAGGAAATAGCCGAAAACGTCGGAATTGCGTGTAGTATCACATTCAAAATGGCACGCAGGCTTGTTGTCAAGCGTGACGTCATTAGAATATGGCACTAATTATTATGCTTCTGATTCTTGCCCTTTTTTAATGCATTCCATTTTTCATGTTTTATGCTTTAAACATGTAATAAATAGAAAATTTAATGGTAATAACAAATAACAGTAATAACAAATATATTAGCCACACGAGTGAAATGTATTTGTTATTACTGAAAACATCATTAAATATCCTCTATGTATTTTTCAAAAATTGAAATCTATTAAAAAGAGAGTAATGTCCAGGGGATGGGGATTTGGTTCAGTTGAGATGGATAAACGTTCCCTACATATCTTTACCTTTTTTAGATTAACTCTTTTACCACTGTAGACCATAATGGACTCATCCAGATCAATGCATGGTAGAGTCTACTAAAGTTACATATAGGGGGGAAAGTGTTAAGATTGTTTTGATC